CACATTTCTCTAGAACGTAGCTATTTTAGATATTCGAATCAACTTTTACACTCTTTTATCAGACAAAAGTGCATTTTAAGCTATTTTATCGTACTTAGTATTTTGATTATAACACTGTCATTTCTAAATAAAATTTAAAAAAATTTTGTATAAAATGATCGGCAAAAAAGCTCTACAAAATCGGATAGAGGGTGTAGGTGTGAGTGTGAATTCTTACTTCACGTACTCATAGGCACACGCACACCCTAGTGCGACTCCTTGAGACGTCAAAGCATGGAACTCACAAACTCTGACTTCTATAAATTTATGGTATTTTTTCACAAGGGTGAGTGTGGAATAATAGAACACACCCATCTGATCTTATCAATATTGTAAAACCAATCATTGATGCTCATGATCTGTTAGTTAATGAAAGTAGAGAACATGAACGAGCACAAAAAATGCTTAATTCAGATTTTCATTTTGTTAATTTACAATCAATGATACCAATTATGTCAAATGAAACGACAAAAGCAATAAATTCTGTTTTATTCACGTCTTCATTGAAGAATGAAGTAAATCTTTCTATTGAAACGTGTGAGTATAGAAGGGTGTGGATGTTAACACCTTCTTCACTGACACCTATACCCACCCACACACTCTCTCGGTAGTGTTATCCGTACGTCTTTAAGATATTTTAAATCGCAATCGACTTGTAACAAGAGTTGAGTCTATTTTTGTATCATGAGATTTTACGGATAATCTGGAGCTGTATTTTAATACAAATTTTTAAAATAAATTTAGAAAAATTAAATTTCAACAGATCTGTATTTATACATTTAAACAGGTATTAAAACGCACTCGACAGGTTAAAATTTTAAAATGAAGAATATTTTTCTCTTTTTTTTTCTTCTAAAGATTACCATTCAACAAAATCATGCAAATGACTCACCAGTAAATAATAGAGAGCAAACTAGGTAAGCCATCAAAGTAGTTTCTTTCGCTTGTCCGTTATAGTATGTCTTCTTTCTTCATTACGCGACTTCAATCTATTTTGTTAAACAGAAGTGCATAACTGTTCTCTTAAATGTTCTGCCAAAAAACGAAAATAGATAATACAGCAGTGTACTCGTGTCACTGTCTATGAGTAAATCTGTAAAGAAAAACTCATACGAGTACTCGTCATTATCAACAAAAAGTATTCATTGACATAAAAATTGTTCAAGGACTCTTCACCAACGATTTGAGTACTCATGGTGGTAAGTCGTACTCGTTTGAGGCATATTTCCTCAAGAGTATCCTATATTATTTCGACATATTGCAGCTGATCAGAAAAAGTTCCTTTATAGCGCAAGTATTATTTTCTCCGAATTTCTCTCTTTTAGATTTGTTGCATCGAGCAGAAAAATTAACTGCATTACAGAGTATCAAATCTCTTCGAAACCAAAATCAACAATATCCACTACAATTGTCTACACATCACAAGCATCGAAAGAATGATCAACTAACTGTAATATCTAATGAGAGTCTGAATGTAAATGAAATTGAAACAATAGTCTTACAAGCTTTTGAACATGAACAGGAACTTGTATCTAAATTGGATATAAATATTTTATTAGAAGAATATAATCTATTGGAATTGGAAACTTTGAGTGTTGAAATATACAACAACTTGAAGAATTCGAATCGAGTAATCGATTCAGCAACGTCGAACTCATTCCCTAATTCTGATTTAGATAATGACGACAATGATGATTACGACAATAGTAACAGTAGCGAGGACAATAACGATGGAAATCCATCGACTGATAACGATGATAATAAATCGAATAGCATGTTACAATCAAATAGAATTATTTTTTCTGTTATGCGAATTTTCTATTCAACTGATCAAGCACATAGAAACTCATATTTTGAAATTGAATTTAGCGGCGAAGAAAATTTTCTATATAAACAAACAGCATGTTGGCTTTTGACCAAAAGAAATAGCCGTCTATCCAGCGATCGCCTCTCGCGTGTGGAACAGACGAACAGATAAAAATATAAAAGTATATTTTTTTCTGTACATTTCTATTTTTTATAATAAAGTTTCTTCATCAAAGGTTTGATCTAGTTTCCATTCATAATTTATTCTAACTAGAAGTTATAAAATTCATGTGAAACGAATTTTATAAAAAAGATTTTCCTAAATAAGAGAAGTGGCGAGGATAACCGAAAGCGTTTCTTTTGTCATCATATGTAATCAGATATCATCTCTTAATTTCATCACTCTACTACCACATTTTTGCTCATGTATCACATTTTCTTTTTTCGTTATATCAGCTAACGAACAAGTTAACTAACAATGAAATAGTGAAAGATTTCGTTTGGTTCAACCCTCATAAACAGTATACATTGTTTCTGGAATAAAGATAATTCTTTTCTCTATGAATATCAATGACGTTGCCAGAATTTTTTGAGTCATGGACCGTTTCCCAACTAAATCATTTTGAGAAGCGAGAAGCAATAGACAATTAAAAATGAATTGGCGCATAATTTTTTATTAATTTATTTCTATCAAAAACCGATGTTTATTGAAGAGAAGTTCGTTATTCTCAAACAAGATATGAGCTCATTCGTTTTTCCTGTACTGTCTCATAGATGTTCTCTTCAACTTTCAAACATTTGAATACATCATATAACAAAGAATCAGTAAGCACAAATAAAATCAACAACGAATTTAAGTAGAATAACGAGCATTGTGACGAAAACAAAACGCTGAATTATCACCATTGTGATCATTGGTTTAATGAAAACTATAGTCAATTGATTTTTCTTGATCATTTGGTCAGCTCACAACAAGATACAATCTATTAAAATGACATCACTGGTATTTGTGTGCATGCATGTACATCAACTTTTTTCGATCGTGGGCGCTTGGTATAATCTCAAAAAGATGCGTAGGCAATAACTTTTAAATTTGTGCGTAATTGGCCAATTGGCCTATCCCTGGCTACGGCATCGAGGGTCGTATACAAAAATATGAAAAGTCACTACAGTTGGTGAGAAATATACTGTCTAAAAGATTTCAGATCAAATTAAACGTCTTCAAAATGGTTTGCAGTCATTTTAAGGAATTTTACCAGATTCAAAGATTTTAAAAGATTTCCAGAGATGTTGGATGCCAAATTTGCTTTTCCTCTCTTGGCTAATATACGATGCAGAAGCCTTTGGGAAGATGTCAAATGCTGTTAGGTCATGTTGCTAACTTGAAGTTTAGCCATTTTGTTTCTTGTTGGAAAAAGTAATGTCTAAAGCACAAATTTTATGCCAAGCGTTTTTTCAGGAAGAATTTGAAAACAAGGAAAACCTGAAAACCTAACGCCTCTAAAACAGGTTCGTGCATATTGGGCATACAGAAACATTATATTTTTAATTTTTATTAAATTTTCGAATGAAAAAAAATGGAAAAAAACATTCGACATAGATTTTTATATCACAAAAAATGCTCTTTCTAATGTTTTCTTGGAAGTGAAATTTACTTATGGTTTTTATACTAGAAAGTTTCTTTACTTTTTAAAAGGCGGCGAAACTTGATCATTCTCATTATTTGACGATTTTACAATAGTAAAAGAATACTTCTTGAATTGTCTTTTTGTTCAATTTCTAAGATCTCACAAATTTACAAACGAATGTCGCAAACGAATTTAGTTCATGCATAGTCTCTGGAAATAAGAGCAGATATTCCTATTTATGACAAAAAGGTATTTTTTTTCAAAAAAATTTAATTTATCAAATATTTTGATTAGCAAGTCAATAGACGATCACAAACTTTTTAACAAAATGGATCTCGATAGAGTTTTTGATGATCTACATTTGATGAAGTTTTTGTTACAATTTCATCGTTGTAACTCATAATATTTGAGAAATATCAACTTTTGCAAGTTGCACGAGCTTGTTTTTAGAGATGTTTGGTTTTATTTTTTCCTCCATTGCGGGTTTGTCCTGGAAATAGATGTTGAATACAAAATGTGTGGTTCAGACATAGCTCTTTCTAACAAGAAAAAATTTGGTTGAATTAGAAATCAATAACATTCTACCCAAAACGAGCGCAATATCTCCTTTTTTTAGATAAGTGAGAGATGTGTGTAGCGCTAATTTACTCACCATTGGATAGAACATATAACTTTTGATTTATGTAAACGAATTGAGAGTCACCGGAACCGATTTCAGATGCACTCCAAGGTTACAATTCCACCAAAAGCGCTTTTATGAGTCGACCAAAAAAGAAATATTATTCAGTCAGATTACGCTGGATTTGCGACTTCGACTGCACAGTCATGCTTAGTTCACTAAGTTCTGCAAGGCAATATATTTCTTTAACGATTATTGAAGAAAAGAATTTTCGATATCGCCGACGCATCTCCCCCTACAGTCAAAAATATTTTTCTTCTGTTCCAAGAATAATGTCGATAATTGTGATCAGGACTACGTGCAGATTATTTCTATATAGAAATTTAAAAAAAAAATAATGAGGGCGAAAAATGACCTTATGAGATAGGTCCTTTATATAACCCTCATCTCACATGCGAACACTGCTATTCCATTGAGAAAGAAGAAAAATGCGTCGTTGTAACTTGTGCGCACTTCGTCATCCCGCACGAGGAAAGAAAAAATAACGAGAAAAATTTACGTGAAGAGTCGACTCCAATTCGCATAAAGGGAGGAAAGAAATTTTTTTTTTTTTATTCCTCCGATAGTAACCATCATGCATTTCACATCAGTTGCGTCTAGTGTTTAGATGATACATGGAAGGCATATAATGACTATTTTGTTGTTGTTTCATTACAGAAATTTTCAATCGAAGTAAGATGACTTTGAAGACTTATTTGTTGAATCGAACCACTGGTCGAAAATTCCGTCTCAATGGCATTCGACCGTCGACTCGCTTGCCCCACAAACATCGATTGCGTCAGGCATTTCAGAATTTTGTTATCTACAGTGTCGATCAACTTCCATCCAAAGTTGATCTTCGATCACATATGATGCCCATTGAAGATCAGTCACAAATTGGCAGCTGGTAAAAAAAATCGGATAGTTCTCCGAATTTATATTCTCATATTTTATTCTATTTCAATTTAGCACAGCAAACTGTCTTGCCGGTAAGATTTAATCATGATATATCACTTCTATAACATGCTGTCTTCGTCTCAGGTGCCTATGAGTATGTAACGAAAAAAGGTAACGATCAGGACATAGCTGTCAGTCATCTGTTCATCTATTACAATGGTCGTGCCAAAGAAAACCCATCGGCCATAACTGATTCTGGTTGTACAATGACGAATAGCATTGAAACGCTGGAAGAATTTGGAGTTTGTCTCAAATCAATTTGGCCATATGATATTTCGCAAATGAATACAAAACCAAACGGTGAAGCCTATCAAGATGCAAAGGGTCATAAAATCATCGATGCATTGCAAGTGGACATCGATTTGACAGAGATGAAATCATGTTTGGCACAAGGCTTTCCATTTGCGTTCGGCTTAAAGCTTTTTCCATCGTTTGATAAAGCAGGAAAAACAGGCGTTGTTCCGATGCCGAATTCAACGGATGAAAGTCGACAGTCGGACAGCAGGTAGAATATTCTCTGTAGTCAAAAACAGCCTGTGAACATATCTTTCTTCGTTTTAGTCACGCACTTCTAGCAGTCGGATATAGTGATCGATCACAATCATTTATTGTTCGAAATTCATGGGGAGAAGATTGGGTGAGAGCAATTTTCTTTACTTTTTGCTATCTCGACGAGATGTTTATTGAAAACTTTTAAGACATCCTACAATTGACTTCGTCATTTTGACGACTGGTTTCTTAACAACAAAATTTTTCGATAAAGAAAGTCTTGATATTCAACTTCTTGAATACGGTCAGTATTCGTATTTATGATTTACGACAACATATTCGAGATTTATGTAGATCATGATTTTTCCTGAAGTACCACTGAAGATTAATCAAGTCGACTTCGTAAGCCAACAATAGTTAGAACTATTAGTTACAGTTTTTGTTTCGTGATAAAAAAATAGAATCTGATTAAATACAAAATTTTACAATGAATTTTGCAAGAACAAAAATCTGGCGTCATTCGTAATTCACTATTTGTTTCTCGTGTGATCTTTTAGGGCGATAAAGGATATTGTTATATTCCGTACAATTATGTGGCTAATTCTGATTATTGTTTTGATGTATGGACTGTTCGTCAATTGGAGACCGATGATTTTGGCCAAGACCATTGGGATAATGATGATTCAGTTAATTATCAACAGGTCAACAACAATGACGATGACAATGATAACGATAACAATCATGACATCCAGAATATTGACGAGGAGGACGATGGCACTGCGAAGTAGTCCACCGTCCTGGGTCGCAAGCTCTTATTGAAGAATACAGCAATTGGCCAGCTTTTGTTTTTGTTCTGTTCTCTGTTGAGTTCATTCTATTTGCAAAGTGTGTTCAGTTGCTTTTCTTTGGGAATAAAGTGTTGTCAGACTGATTCAATATCAAACGTACCGATCATATCGATCGATCGAATTTCAGTTCGCTAACGAGGGAGTTACTCGAAGTGATTAACCGCTTTAGAGCTCATACTTTGGGCACATAGAGGGGACCTCTAGACTAGAATAATCCTAAAAGGATTTGGGCTCATGGCTCTTATGAGCTGAGTTATTGAATTTTCAAGTTTCAGCCGATAAGAAGGATTTTGATCCTGTATTGCGATCATCATTTCGAAAACAAAAATGTTCTGTTAGCTAGAAATTTCATGATAAACTCGCTGTTTCATCAGCAAATTACTGTGAAATTTTCAGATTTTATCTCATTCCTACAAGCCACAGCCGCTTTCTTGAGAATCTTAGAGAGGACAAAATAAAGTTTTATAGATATCACTGTCTTAAGAATTATAGCATCAAACTGAAAGACAAAAGACTTTTAATTATGATAATGATAAGATTCCAAGAAATATTCAAAGCAGAGTACCTTTCGACAATGACTACATTGAATAAAGTATAATGAGCGACAGCTCGACTATTGGCAAGCATCAGCATCAACATTGAAGCAAACTTCATTGACAGACTCAAAATCTCCGGGATGTTGATCGATGCACCCTGATGCGAACCATGCATATTTGATCATAGGTATAAATTGAGGCGATGACAACTAATTGTGAATAAGAGAATTCAATTGTATTATATTGTTTCGTTCAGATAGGTTAATAGCGATATCGTCAAGTTGAACGCGATCGAATATACGCTGAGCGAACAACTTCCATTGTCTGTTGAAATAGGCGTCAAATGGTTGAGTACATGACGTAGTGTGAGCTGGTATTTCTAGTCTTTTGCATCCTTGGACAGCGGAGTATATATTTGGATCTCGTTGACCAGATCAAAAGCTCGAGATCAAAATAGATTTCGATGGAACAAATGGACGGAGAACGTGATCTCGTCAGTATTCAACCAATGAGGAAATGATCGTCTCTGAAGAACGGCACGCTAGAACGACGTTCGAGGCAGCAAACAATTTCTTTTTTATGTCTAGCAAAAAAGATGTTCTTACATTACCCAAGAGAAAAATAGCACGTTAACTCACTGTCGCTCATTTTCCCCTTTGATTCTTTCAAGCAAAGGAAGACAAGGTCGACAAGTTGACCAGCAAGGGATATCATCGGTTGAATACGGTAGCAATGTGTTGTGACATTTTTTGATCTTACGTGAGCTAAACTAACATGTTCATTTTCATACAAGAGGGTTCTAGTCGAGTGAATCTCTAATTCGAGGCCAATCTGATCAGCATTGAGAATTTCTTCAGGTTTATAGTGACTCATTTCTCGTTTTACATCGGCTAAAAAGGAGTCGGCAGATCCATTGATAGCGTCAGTATCATCCGCATGATGACGAGCCACCAGTTTCGTCGTTTTCCTCGAGAACATGCGATGACGATGTCTGAAAACCTTTAGCCAGTGTTTGGATGCTTCGAAGTTGAGGATCAAATCTTCAGCAGCTTTTTGGAGTGCCCATCGCTTCAAATCGCGATCATACACAGAGAGAACATGTTCTTGAGCTTCTTCAAAGCTGTCGTAGACGAAATCCTCTATAATCCGCATTTTCTCTCGTTTTTTACCGTATTGTTCAATGAAGTGACGAAAGCAAGTAATATACAGTTGATGAAGAATGGATTTGAATCGATGTTTTGTGGATTTCCATGTATGTTTCTTTCTTCCTGTCGAGTTACGAGCAGCATAGTAATCGATGGCTTTTTTTATGTAATCAAGAGTGAAGTTCATTGTAATCAATGGGTTCTCAACATTTTCGACCTCATCAAAATTCGGATCAATACTTTCATCTTCAGGATCGCTGAACGCGTCGTCATCACCGTGATCGAGTGTTGTTTCTGATTCAACTTTATATGAAGTGCACTTGTGAACGTTTTCCATTACTTCGAACAAAGAGTGTACGATTTCTTCCTCGAATGGACTTGCCCTCGATCGTCAACGACTTGATTTTTCACGTTCAGTAACTCAAACCAATAAAAGTTTCGTGATTCTTGCAGCATCACTCATATTTTTGTTACACGAAAGCATAAAGAACGTCTTATTTGATGAAGAATGTTTCGCTCGATTAACAGTATCACATCACAGCACGCATCCTTTATATCATGTCATTGATTTTTATTACTCTCAAATGCACGCAAAAGAATGCATGTAATACGCGTCCACTGTTTGTTATTCGTGAACCACTGTCTCTGTGATGACGGTTAATATTACCGAAACAACATTGTGGAGTGTGGGTGTGAGCATGGGTGGGTGTATAGGTGCGTGTAGATGTGGGTATGAATTTCGCCTCTATCCATGCCAACACCCACTCCCACATCCACACCCCAAAGGAATTTTACCTTGATCTGATGACCGAATGTATAGAGGTGCTGTTTTTTGTTGATAGACGACGACATGATTTTAAAACTTTTCATATTCCACACATTGTGGAATTTAAGATCAAATTAGTTTTACATAAACAATAAGAAAAAAGAATTTATTTATTATTTTTATAAGGTCTCTATTGTTGGCTTATAGCTTTTAGTGAAGATCTTGCACGTCTTCTTTATCTCCATCCTAAAATCACATTAGATATTTGTATAACGGATGAAAAATTGTACCTTTTATCATCACTTGTTATTTCCTCATGGTATTCACCATAAGAACTATTAACAACTGTTGCTGATCTAGATTTTCTATTACAAAAGAAATTTATTCCTATTGATGACACATTTCTAGTACGTGTCGATAGATTATAAAATTCAATCATGTTTAAATTTGATTTCCCAGTTTTAGATACAATTTTTTTCTTTCATATTCCAGATCCATTAGAAAATACTTCTCTCACTTTGTTCGAAGTAGCATTCAATGGTCAGGAGAATGATCTACGTGATCTTCTTATACATCGTCTTGCTTATGTTGATGTATGGGATTCTCATGGTTTAGCTGCTTTACATTTTGCTACTTATATTGTGTATATAAATGTTATTGATATTCTTCTTAATTCGTATTGATCTACAACTAAAAAAAACTTTTTTTTGCTTGTTTAACTTTTTCATCAGAATCAATTTTAATATAACTTAAATCAGAGAAACATCTACTCCTTTGATTTGATTTACAATTTGCTAATAGTGTCTTGCCAATGATGGATTTAGAGGCGAACGCTGAGAATGATTGTCCTTCCTTACCAAAAACTTTCAACAATTTTTCTCAGCAGAAAAGCCTCCAACATGAATTGATACTATTCTCCATTTCAAAATAAAAGAAGGATGAGTATTTTTGGAATTATTTTTTGATAGAAACAATACAGAAATCTTCAGTTTTCACCGTTTAAAAGAGGCAATAAAACTGCATCGAACTGTATATACCATGAAGTTTATTTAAAAACAAAACATTGAGTAATATGAAAGTTTTAGGATTTTAATATTCAGAAGTGCACTAGAATCATGAAATTAGGATCTACAAATTATAAAAGTTCAATGTTCTGAGATTTGGTCAATCATGAGTTATAAAGATTTTACTACGTACTATTGACAAATTTTTTACAAAAATTTGCTTTTTTTTATTTTTGACGAAAAATTCATATTAGTAGCCTATGCAAAATGTTCGGCTCTTTTGAAGAACTTGACTGATCATCCTGAGAAAACTTGTCAGAACAAAGTCTGATATAAACTTTTCAATACAATTTTATCTCATCTTTTAAACAATGAAAACCGCACACTTCTATGTTGTTCCTATCAAAAATTATTCCAAAAATACTCGCTCTTTTTTTTATTTTGAAATGGATAATAGTTCTAATGAATTTCAAAACATATTACTGATCACGATCACCGCCATTCATCAAAACTCTAGGCTTTTCGCTGTGTTCTATGCTTGTTTTTTTTCCAATTGATTTAGCGTATTTGTCAGATGAAGGATACTACGTTGTATTTTAATAAAAACACTAACAAAATTTGAGTTTTTATTGAAACTTAGTGGAACTACTGAATTGTTAAGATGTCTATTTATCAGAGATTTCTGCGGAACTTTGGTTTCGGGAAATAATGTGTTTTGTTTTGAAATCTATCTTGAAACTATCTCTATTGAAAGATGTCAGATATAGTAGCTTGTATGGAGAGTTTCAGAGCATAAACATTGTGTATCTTCGAGCTTTGAACTTGTTTTCATGACTTGCAGATTTGATGTAAAAGAAAGACTTTTTTCTCTTAATATAAACTTCTCGACTATTTTTCGCACCGACTACTTTTCTTGGAGTTATTACCATTAATATATATTTTTCATTTTAAGAGTTTGTTCGTTAAGAATAGAAATCTTGCTTATGATTCATGTTCTTGTTTGAATCTTATTGAACTTTTATTTTTCTCAATCAAAGTGTTCTATTAAATATAAAATAAGTTTTTATCTTGTTATAATTAATTATTCATTTTCTGTAGTGGATAATGAATCTTCACTATCAGTACTTGTTGTTTGAATAGAATTTTGATCAGAATCTTTATTATTAATAACAATATTGGATGATTTGATTTGATTAGATCTTTCAGGCGAATATGTATTTATTGGACAAGGAATAACAAGTACCGGTGGTCGTATATCACGTGAAATGTATTTCGCTAATTTATTTTTCATATCTATGTTATAAGAATTAATTTTTTGTTCTAATTTTCTCAAATGTTTTTCGATAATATGTGTATTATCATCGAGTATTGTCTGAATATTTGTTGAAATACAACATAACTAAGAAAATAAATCAATGAATAGAAGAAGAAAATTTCATTTATGATTTTTATCTTCTACCTGCTTTTGAATATGTTTTAAAACAGGTAATAAACGAAATGTAATATTAAGAGAATGTTTATTTATTTGAATATCATCATATAATTCAAAATCATCAATAATCGTTTGTATATATTGAATCATTTTATTGATATTTTTATCTGAAACATTCATTTGTAATTGTTCTAAATGATTTTTAAAATCATTATTAAATTGATATAATTCTTTTTCATGATTAATTAATACATTGTCATCATCAATATCAATTCCTTTTGAAATATTATTTCGTCGTTGTTGTGCAAGACTTCTTATATGAATTTTTAAACAATGTTGTAATTCATGTGCTGTTTGTGAAAATTCATTTATGGTTGCTGGTAAAAGAAAATCTTGTTTATCTAATTTAATAGTTAATATATTCCTATTCTTTTCATTCGAATTTTCATGAATTGTTGTGATTAATTTAGTATAATCAATTATAAATTCATGAATATCAAGAAAAATTTTGTGAATAGATTGATATTCATTCATTTCTTCGAATAATAGATACAAAAAAAAATTACTATAGAGACAATAAATAAAAACCATTTGCTCAATTATCTTTCAAACTATTCAAGAAGAAACATCTGTTTCATTAAGTACCATTAGTACGAAATGTGACACTGTTATTCATCATCATATATATATCTATGCATTTGCCCCAACACAAGTTTTTCAATCATGCATTTTTCATTGCCTCTTTTCCCAGTTTTACTATTAATATTCACTACAACAGTATGCACTCTTGATACAATAACAACCGACACACCGATCATTTTTTGCACTAAACAAGCACAGTGTCCAACTTCACACTTTTGTAATATTAGACGACGTATTTGTATGCTCAAATATTCTGTAAACAGTACATGTGAACGTGACCTAGAATGCTCTGATGGCAAATGTTATAATTATATATGTCGTCAATCATGTATTTTCGACGATGACTGCTCTGTAACAAAAGAATATTGTACTGTAAACAAGTATTGTAATACTAAATATTGTGGTATGTGTCTACGAGATGCGCATTGTGCTAATAATCATTGTGAATATTTTCATTGTACATCAATTAATTGTACTACAGCATTAGATGCTCTTTTTTAAACAATCATAAATACATTTATATATATTTGACAATTACAAAAAAAACGAAAAAGAAAAAAGCATAATAAAAGGGAAGACTTAAAAATTCTATTAACATAAAATAAAACTAAGCATTGCTGCTAGACATATAACAATAAATAATTTAAATAAGTTTGGTCGTTCAACATTTGTGGAACCAATATTAACATCACCAATTTTATTTTGTTTGATTTGAATACTTAAATCATCATCAGAAAAACATGATGATGAATTATAAATATCATTGATTTCAAAACGTCGTGAAAGACAAAATTCTCGTCCATTTGCATATAATTTACCAACAGGTATACCTTTCATTAATGCTGTTGCACATGCTTTATACATTCGATTACAATAAGATAAACATACATGTAAACGTTCACTACGATAAAATACATGTTGCAATGGTGAACATACATAACACATTAATACATTTATAAAACGTGTACATTCTGATGATGAACCAATTAATGGACGGACTTGAGAAAAAATAAGTCGTACTTCATTATCATGACAACAGCTATTCTTTTTAAACCATGTACAATTTGTTAATGCTGGTTGTGGACTTGGTGCTCGATTAGAAAAAAATGAACAATAAGGTGTACTTTCAGATGAAATAGATGATGTTATAGCAAATGAATTATTTAAAGTCAAAACAGATGACAACAGGAAAATAAATAAATAAATCCTGTGGCATCCAAAATAAAAACAATATGACATCAGACAAAGCCAATATTATAAATATACATAATCTGAAGTATAAATAGCATATTTTAAATAAATTAATATTATGCTAAATTTTATATCTAAAATGGCAACAACAAAAAAATTTCATTCCGTTTTTTGTTTTGTTTTAGCTTTTGCCGTGTATATATACCAACAAAATAGACCAGACAAATGAATGTCTAATATTAGCAAAATCTTTTTCTTTCTCTTTCTCTGTACAGATACACATTCCAAAAAAGATGACGAAAGATAAATAACAAAATGGATAAAAAAAGAAAAAGAAAAAGAAAGAAAAGAAAAATGAACGAGAGAGAGAGAGAGAGGCAAAGTAATTATCACTGCACCGGAGCTTGAACTGGTTGCTGTTGTTGTTGTTGTTGTTGGAAAGCAGCTCGCTGACGACGAATTGTATATAAAGCACCGATAAGACCAAGTAATGCTGCCATTAAATATAAATCCCATGATGAATCAAAATCAATTGTTGTTGAATGATTTTCATTAACATTTGATGTTGTTGTTGATGTCGTAGTTGATGTTGTCATTGGTTCAGTTGATGATGATGATGATGGTGATGAAAAAAATATTGAAATTAATTTTTCCCATAATAATTCCAAATGAAGTTTGAATAGAATAATACTAACAGGTAAATAAGCATCAACACTTGTTTCTGCTGCCATATCATAAAAACGTTTTGCTAAATGTATATCCTTAAAGAGAAAATGAATTTCGAAAATATATTTTATTTCTTCAGAAAATGTTTTCTTAGAATATATTATTTGTATATTTTCTAACAAAGTATTAAGTTGAATATCTAAATCTAAGCTAAAGAGAAATAGAAGAAATATTGATAGACTACTTATGTATAAGATTTAAATAATTATATTTCGTGCAGATTTTCAAAGCAAATGAATACAAATCTTATAATCATAGAGTCAAGAAAATTTAGTTCAAATATATTTCTCCGAATACACAGATAGAACAATCGAGATTTTTTTAATCGATTGGTATATGATCCAACTTTATTATATTTGATAGAAAAATAATTTTTTTTGCTGTTACTTTTGAGTCAAATCCTATGTGCATCATGTAAATCCAAATGAGCTATGAATACTCTGAAAAAAGTTCGGTATCTTAGCTTCTCAGTATCGAGATACTGCATTTTTTAACTGAATAGCATGTCAACCTGGAGAAATACCGGGTTCATATAAAGATCGGCCTTGAAGCTTCCAGTAGAAATTCGAAAATGAGCTTTCTTAATGTTCCTAAGCACAGTTCAGGCTTACAAGCGATTAATTAGTCGAAGGGCTGCTCTCAGAGCTGGAACCGGTCCGGCAAACCGGTACCAGTCCGGACGGGTACCGGACCGGTTGAAAAAGCCAACCGGGCCGGATGAAACCGGAATTTCACCGGTATGAGTTTCTAAGAAAAATTTGTTGCTTAACGATATTTTTGAAAATTAATGCTAAAAAGTTGTCTATATTTGTGCTTGAGAATGTGCAAAAAGGCTCAAAACATCTCATTTTAATTAAAGCAGGAGATTTACGAGAAAGAAAAACTATTTCTGATTCTTGCTTTTGGTTAACGTTTTCGCTATCAAGTCACAATCGATTTTGCCGACAGCTAGCATATGCTTGATGAACTGTTTACAAAGTTCGAATGCTTGATAAATTTTAAACATTATGCATATTTTTTCTAAAGAATTGAGCAAACTTTAATCACATTTCATCAAGAATTATAGTTCTCTGAAATATACGTTGAAAATCATAGTTCAAAGCCGAACTTTTTTCAACAATCTACATCGAAAACACAGAAGTATTACTTGTATTCATATCAGTACCTATTCAGTTTGCCGGAAATTCACCGGTTCAAGAACAACTTATAAACGGCCGTTTTCCGGCCGAACCGGACTGTTTTCAAAATTTCTTACCGGTTCCAGCTCTGGCTGTTCTTGCTAAGTTTTAAAGAAAAAATGCCCCTGCCTTTCAACAATGGCATGGATCTAATAAAGACTCTCAATCTCTCCATGATGATGGAGAGCGAGTCTTCTGAACTACACGACTACGGTTTTTGATGCAATCATAATTGATCCTTGTACAGTGCTTGAGACTAGCCGTGAAAACTGTATCGCGCTACTATGTACTCCACAAGACACTTTCTTTCAGTAATGTGTGGTCCTAAACATACCCATTTAAAATTTAAGCTCTTAGTATCACAATGTACTGTGCAATACGAAAAAATTATAAACACGCAAAAGACTCAGTACTATTTAAAAACAAGCAGTATACATGTATATATTATGAGAGATATCTAAAGAACCCCATTTTAGTTCAAAATCGAATGCAATTTTTTTCTTGTCAGTTTAGATCAATACACAATAGATCATGTCATGCTTGTGTAAGTGCTGTCTTTTTTTCTTTCTCTAATTTCTTATACTTATGATAATTCTTATTATTCATTTAATTCTTTTTAGATTTAACATACTCTTTTTAATCCTAAGCCTTTTTCATGCATATAGGCTAGATTAAACATTGCTTGTGGATTTTGACTTTGGTCACTTGCATATTTATAATGTGTTGCTGCTGCTTCATAGTTCTGTTCAGTACCATAACCACTAAAACAAAACAAATGATTAATTTTTTAAAAGACGAGTTAGCTTTTTCTTTTATAAATCTTACTAATAAAAATAATCTCCTAATTTAACTCGGGCTGTATGAAAACCTTGAATTGCTGCTCTATTCCAATAAATTAAAGCTCTTCTATATTGTTCTTCTTTATTATCATAAATATTAATCAATTGATTTGGCATTTGATCAAGTAAATATGCAACATTAGATTGTGCAACTTCATATCCAAGTTCAGCTAAATATAAATATTTCATAAATGCTTGTTCAATATGACCTTGTCTATAAAGATTATATGCTTCAATAAACATGCTTGACCATTTACCACGTTCAGCAACATTTTTAAAAAGTTCTGTTGCTGTTGTACACGATCGTAATACACCTGTACCAGTAGCATGCATTTGTCCAAGATTGTAATAGCCAAGTGCATGACCTGATTGTGATGCTGCTTGAAACCATTTAATAGCCATTTTATAATCACGTTTAACACCTTCACCTTTATAATACATAATACCAAGCATAAGTTGTCCTTCAACATAACCTTGATCAGCTGATAATTGAAAATATTTAAATGCTTTTTCATCATTTTGTTCAACACCAGCACCATGATAAAATGCCATACCAACACCAGCTTGTCCAATAGGATTACCTTTTTCAGCTGAACGTTGAAAAAATTGTAAAGCCGTTACATTATTTTGTTTAATATAATCATTTTTTTCTGAATATAATTTTCCTAAATATGCCATTGCATTTGAATTTCCATTTTCAGCAGCTAAACGAAAATAATAAAGTGCTTTATCAAATGCTGTATCACGTAAATAATATAATTGACCAAGACCATACTAATAATAAAATGAGAGGAAAAAAACAAACAAACAAATAAATTTAAGAATTTTTTATTTTCGTTTGATTTTTACTTGAGCTTGTGCATCGCCTCGATCAGCTAATAATTGATAATATTGTACAAGATCTTCATCAACCATAATATTATTTTGTGTTGGATGTTCTTCTTCATCATATAAACGAATACGTTGAATTAATTGTCCAGTTGCCGATGTCATTTTTGATGAGACTAAATAAATTCGTTTATAAGAATTTTTAATCAATAATAACGAAGTTTTCCTACCATATGTTGCTACTTGTTTATAAAACATTAAAGCAGATTCACAACTATGAGCAAGAGAAACTGTACGCCAATACCGATAACCCTAGATGACAAAAAAGAAACAATCAAACAAAATATTATTTTCTGAGTGTTCATTACTCAACTAAGATTGGATATTATTCGATTACAAACTTTACTCGAACAAAATATATGTGAAGAAAAAAATGAATTTAAATTTTTCACTTTGTTACTAGAGACTTAAATCAATGCATCAATTGGCAACTGAAAGTTTTCAACACTTTTTTTTTCAAAAAGTGTGAATATAAGTTTCATAATAATTTTTTGACCTCAAACGAAGATCTATAGTGATTTTCAGACGAAGACTTTCTATACCAATCTAGATAGATTCCGCTTGTGGGTTAAAACCTTATAATCGTCTTTTCTTAGTTCCATGAAATTATAAACGAGAGAGTATGATGATAAGATCATTCCTGAAAACTGATCAAAGATATTAAAAAAAATCTACTTTTCGGTAGTTGAGTTGTTGGTATGTTAGTCGATTGTTGCTCTATGAGCATAGAATTTCTAAGAATCTAGATAATCGAATTTTGAGTTGAAATTTTTTGTCTACAACTAGAACCTATAGTAACTAGTAACACTTCAAAGTTTCAGTCAAGATGAACAAATTCTTGTCAAGATATAAAAATTTCAAAGATATCCCGGTTCTGCAAAAGAAGAATGTTTCCGTGACAAGCTTATATCTCGATATGAATATGTTTGTTCTAGCTCAAACTTTTGAAGAGTTTCTAGTAGCCATAAGATTATCTATGCGTAAAAATTTCAATTTTGAAATTTGATCGTGCAGATTCTCAGTGATTCTTTGCTTATAAGACACTAGTCAAGTAAAACGTTCATAACTTGACAAACGAACATCGAAAAATCAAACCAAAACAGATTTTTCTTACCACCCATCATGTCCGATCGAATAGCAATAGGCTCGAATGAAAAGTAGTAGAACAGTTGGGAATATTCTTTTTGAATTTATGAACCTTAATACTTTATTTATTGCATATTATATCTTGATTAGATTTTGATCGAGTTTTTAGCATGTTATACTTACAAGAGTCATTTGAGCTGGACTGTAACCATCAATAGCAGCAAATGATAAATGTATAAGAGCCTAAATAAATAAAATAATCATCATTAGTGATTGACATGTACGAACATTTCTGCTTCACTATTACTGCCTGTCTATCTTTTTTTTTTGTACATAGTAAAATTATGATCAACATAAAATCTAAGTGGAAGATTAGTTTCATTAGAAAGTTATGTTTATGGGAAGAAAATGACTATAGGAAACATTGATTTAATACTGTCGATATCACCTTCTACTATATGACGACAAGATAAACATGAATCAAGAAATGATAAGAACATGTTAAAGATTCATATATTAAAAAAAAAACAAATAACAATAACCGATTACCAAGTGCGAGCAGTAACTTAACAAAATAGAAAAATTAACTAAATAAATAAATGACCATTAACAAATGTCATCACAATGTATTATTAGTAGTGATTATGTGCAATTAAACTAATAAATAACGAATTATTTCTTATCTTCCAGTGACAAAAAAAAGCTTACTGTGCATTTTGGTATCTACTTTTCCTACACAGAAAAAAAAAGAAATTTTTCTTTTATTGAAAATTTAGACAACATAATCGACAAGCAAATTCAATGATCTATGTTAAACCCCTCCCCGCATTAGAAGACCCCTGGTCTTCTATTATGTCCTAGGTTTTTTACCAATTATTAATTGAAAGTAGTTTTCCAGAAATTCGAGGCGATTTTCAGGATTCTTATAGGGATTTTCACGGTTTTGAGGGTCGACGGATACATTTGGACTCATTTTCTAAATATTACCAGCTGAAGAACCTAGAAATTGTGCATTCCTGGACGAAAATGCCCTAATTAGCAAATAATTAATTAATTAAATGGAGATCTTCTAATACGGGGAGGGGTTTAGTAAGAAATGAAATAAATAATAAAATTGAATAAAAAAAATCTTTTAACAGCATTGTTTCATAATAGCAAAGAATATCCTTATAGTTTAATTCAAATTTAAAAACTCGTCTTTGCAATAGAAGATCTTCTTTCTTGAAAACTTGTTACACTGTGACATAATATTAGATGCAGGATCTTCTACTGCAGGAAAGAATTTAGTTAAGTTCTCGTGGAAAATACTAAGGGATTGAAACTCTTTAACTTATTTCTTAGGTAAACATATTACCATACAAAAAATGATTTCTCTAATGAACATATCAATGATTAATCGATTAGAACTTTATTCATCTGAATAATATTTACTATATATATATATATTTTTAAACTTACTTTTGAAATACTTGCATTTGGAATAAGTCCAGCACTATTCATAAAATAAAGTCCCTAAATGAAGAAAATATTAGAAAAAACAAAAGAAGAAATAATATATAAACATACAAAATGTGATTTTGCTGAACCTATTTCAGCTCCTTGATCAAAATATTTTTTTGCTTGATCAAAATCCATTGGTAAATGCACACCAATAAGATGAGCAAAAGCTAATTCTTCTTTTGCTCCAATATGACCTAAATTAGCTGCTTCTTTAAATAATTTATAAGCACTAAAATATTGAAAAATAATTAATTCAAAAAAAAAAAAAAAAATGTTTATATTTAAAGAAGAAAATAAAATAAAAAACGAAATCTTACGTTTCATGTTGTCGATTAACTGTAACATTAATTAATTTAATAGCTTGATGATAAATTGTATTAGCACGTTCCATTTCAGGTGTTAATGGAACAATTTCTTCTTCATCACTATCATCATCTTCTTTTAATTCTTCAGTAGAAATTTTATCTGTTAATGGTTGTTTATCATTTGAATTATCTGTTCGTGATGATTTTGTAAATAATTGTGGTTGAGTTTTTTTTAATGTTTGATATAAATCTTGTATCATACTCGATAATTTTGTTGATGATTGATCAACATTTTGTTTTTGACGATATTTATTATGTAAACTAACACCTATTTGTTTTAATATACGTTGTAAATTAGCATCATCATCATCATCATCATCGGCATCAGCATCGATTTCTTCTTCATTATCTTGATCTATTTTAGAATTTTTTTCTTGTTCTTTTATACGATATTCAATAATTAAATCTTGTATTGATTCATTTAAATCATTAATATCTTCCTCACTATCTTTTATAGATTTTGTTTCAGGAGTTTTTTCATTTATAATTTGTTTATCATCATGATGATGTGGAGTATTCGTGTCATCAACATGTAGATGAATTTGTGCTTCAGGTGCAACAGCTTCGGGCTAGAAAAAAATAAAGTCAATAAGAATGAAAGATATGTTTTGCTTATATTAACACTTACAGATATTGGTTCTACGGTATCTTTATCATCGGATCGTTTTGATTTGTCAGTTGTAGTTGCTAGAAATACATTAAAATTAAAGATTAAAGACTTTTATTAATAAGAAAATACTTTGAGATGTTATAGATAATGAATGTTAGTTTAATAGTTGAAAATGAAAAATTAATTTTGCAAAAGTAATTGAAATTTCGAAAGAAACAAACTCGTGAGAGTTTGTTCTTGATTCGAACTGTAATTAACCGTTGAACTTAAACCTTAATGATGTCTTATTTTTTGTTGAGACACATTTGTAGAATCTTGAAAAGCATTTCATACAGAATGGTCTCATTTGCATTTCATGTTTGTCTCGCCCACGCTTTCTCATAGAAACGTGCGTTTAGTTTCAGACGAAAACATCGAGTAATGTCGTCCTGTCCTAACATATATTAATTTCTAAT